CCCTAAATTATCTTGTATTCTCGAATTAGAAATACATATTAAACACTGGTCCAATATCTTGCCCCAGTGCAGAAACATCTCCTAATCCACCTAGTCAGTAGTTCGACATGGCACATTAAAGGAAATGCCTACTTGGCCCCAGTGATAGTTAGCTCAAGTTCTGGAAGTTATCCTTCCAAGGCTACAGTTTCCCCATTGCCAAAGAAAGAACTGGAATAAGACTAACTTATCTGCCACCTTATCTAAGGGAGAAACTAGAAGGCTGTGTCTTGAAAAGATGACACTGGTCAAATAGATTTATGATATTGTCAGTATCACGTGTGGGTTTAGAATTCAGGAGTTCTTGATTCCCAGTTATGTCTCAAGACTCTTTCAAAGGCACTGAGTAGAAATGGAGGGCAAGAGTGCACCCAACGGGTATACACTGAAAATACCAAACACTTGTTTGCCCTGCTTAGTAACTCTTGAGGGTGTGCAGAAGCTTCAAAACTAACCAATCACTCCACTGGGAAATCTTCCTGAAATAGTATCCTGCACCATCTCCCCTCACAGCTCCAGAATAGGGGCACACCAGGTATGTGAAGGGAAGATGACATGCTCAGAACATACCTTGCTTGGACTGTTCTGGACTCTCAGAGGGCTCCACAGGGAGACAGAGTGGGCAGCAAAAGTTAGAGCTACGCCTGGAGCTAGTTTAACTTACAGCAGGGACTTCTGCACTCCTTGGCCAGCTCCAGAATCCAGAAGGTCCCAGTGTGGTACCCAGCTCAGAATTCAAATATTTTAGAAAGGACCTGCCTTTTTGTCTAGTTCTGATCAAGCTTCTTTAATTTTTCTCAGTTTGTGCCCTTGGTTAGTAATAAAAATCAAAGCTTTTCAATGTGTATTTTTACAAGGCAGCTAAAGGCACCTTGTGTAACACTTATCATTGCATCAGAGAACTCATAAGAAAAATATCTTTTTATTTGTTCTCTGGTGGTTAATTTTCCACACACGCTAGACTAACTATGGGACTCAAGAACAAAATCAGGACTACCACTCATCAAGCAAACCTGAACCAAACTGCAGGATGTCAACATATTATAATTTGGGGTTTATGGAATATTATTCAGGATTTGATTTTCATATTTAGCCCATATTTCTGTAATATTCTAAGACATAATATTGTGTCCAAATAACTCTGAATTTCAGGACGGATGTGTCTAAAGCTATGGGAGATGTCATTTTTCCCTGTTTACTATATGATTACATGTAGAAGAGTCTCTTCATCTACTACGGGGTAGGTGGTGAAGAGAGTCCTTACTGCTTTTTTGGCTCGGGCCTCTGTCTATCAGCACTACAATTAAAAAAGCATAAGAGACATGCCCATATTAAGGGATGGAAAGAACTGGCATCATAGAGGATTGTGAGTGGCTCAAGGATATCACATTCAATGCAAGTATAGCAAGAATTTGAATCTGGATCAATAGGCCTCTTCAAAATGTATTTGTCAATGTCTCACTTGTCAAATCAATATTGTTTCCATTATCACCTATATACTGTGGCCTATATTTTCAGAATTGTGTCTGCATAATTTATATCTCAGCTGTGGTAATAATGGTTGAAAATAGAGGGCCACATTCAGCTCTTATTGATATTTGTTCAGATCTCCTAGAAGTCCATTGCAATCTGTGTAAATTGAGAACAGACTCTTTTTTAACCAATGAAGTGGGCAGCCTCACTACAGTTGCTTTACTTGCTGTGCTTCTAGGATCAATCTGGCATGGTGCTGAGCTTATTTTGGCCTCCATCCATCAAAGCACTTAAGCATAGAAGTAGTTTCATTGAAATCAAGTTAACCTGTGCTTAAGTATTTTGCAGGATTGGGGCCAGAGTACTCAGTACTTTGCAGGATCAAGACCTTTATGAAGAATAAAGTCATTGGGAACAGTGCCATATGTCTGCATGTAATATGATCAAGGAACAAATACCACACTTCTTAGCCTCCAGGCCCTATAAGAGCAAAACTCTTAATTCTCTGTGTGGGGTGGTTTTTCCTCTTGTTATTGTTGACAGTACTGTTGTATGGCTACTCTGGTTGTTATAGTACAGCTGTTTTATATGTTCACAGTTAAGATCATGTCTGCTTTTTGTTTGGTATAGTATAGCCCATGTGCATATTCTTACTTGCTACATGCATAGTTGCAACTGACATATGGGATTTCTAAATTGGCTCCAGGGGCAATTAGACTCATTATTGGGCCTGCAGCTACTGTCCCACAGTAATATTCTTGTAAGGCAGATCAAAAGTCTGATAATTTTATTACCCTTGTAAAATGAAATGAAATTGAATTAGAAAAGGGGAAAATCAATACAAAGAGAGTTGTGGACTTTCTCTTAAAATTTATTTTGGTGATCATTATCAATGTCCGAATGTTCTAATTGCTGCCTGTGATGTCACATGAGTCCCACTTAAAATAAATGCAAAGTGTGGAACAACTTCAATTAAGTTCATGGACAATACAAGTTAGTTTAGGCAAAGCGAGATTTCTATAGTACTTGATTCTAAGAGGTCCTTGAGTAAATAGATATGCAAGGGTTGGATAGATGTATGCAAGGAGCTGCCAGAAATTCACTGTATCTATACTCACAAGTGTGCACATAGCCTTAAGGAGGAGAGGATAGGAACTGCTACCCTGATGGTGTTGGATTTCCTCCTTTTTCACTTGGTTAACCTAGAAAATCTTTTTTACTTTTAGCAAAACATTTCATCCAGCTCTCTGGGATCCAGAAACTCAGTTTTATTTCCACTTGTTACGTAGGTTACTTTATTACGCATACAGCAACTTTCTGTGCTCATGCTGGCCAGGTCCAGACAAATGAGAGAGGCAGGGCAGTACAAAAATTCCAAACCACATGACACACGACACTGTTAATATTTATTTTTCCTAGCATTGATACTTTTTAAAAATTGGTTTGGACATTGTCCAGATTGCGTAAGCACTAAAATTGCTTTGCAGGTCATGTAAGGACCAATCACGGATGTCCTCACCTTATCTACATTTCAAGCTTATCAGTTCAGGGTGTTCCCTCTTATTTCATCTAGTCCAAAAGAAAAAAAACAAAACAAAAAAAAACCAAAAAAAAAAAAACAGTCTCCAGCATGCAGCCTGTCACACCCTTATTTACAATTTATGCTTGCACTCAAACCAAGATTCCTGTCACACCCTTGTTTATAGTTTAACCTTACACTCAGATCAAGATACAAGCAAGTTTACTCATGCCCAGCAAGAGCTATGCCTACATTTGGGCCACAACTACAGCTCAAATTAATTTGAGCTAACTTATATCATCATACAGCCACTTCAGTTATTCAATCACTTGTGTGTTTCTACAGTTTCTTCCCTGTGACGGCTGTGCACATCATCTCCCCACTTGTATCAGTTGTATTATCAGTGTGGGGCATTGTGGGATGGCTCCTGCAAGCCCATAATAGTTGACACAAGCAACACAGTGTCTACATTGATACTGCGTTGACCTAACTACACTCATTGCAACTGTACACTTCTCTGGGAGATGGCATTATTAAGTTAGTGTAGAGAGGCATGTACATTGAAGGAAGCCAAATTTGCATGAACTTACTTCTACAGCTAGGCAGAAGGCAGCTTATATCAACCTGACCATGTAGTCATGTAGGCAGCTTATATCAACCTGACCATGTTGAATAGGCCTCAGTACCAGCAGGCCTGGCATACCAGAGGAAGCAGCAACAGATATGATGTCCAATGTCTCCCACTGCCCCCTTTGTTTTGTGATGGTGCGGAGCTGCACCATTCTTCACACCGTGCTTTGCCTAACAGGCACAATACAACTCTTAACAATACCACAGGGTGGTATATATTTGGTGTGTGCCCAGAAAGGGATACCTGTAGTGGTGTTTAACAAGACAACTAATGAATGAAGGTGCTATTCAAGTTAGCAGGACTCCTTGTAGAGTAATGTGCTAGCCCACACAAGTAAGGCTGTCACACTTGGTTTCATAACATTTTAGGACCCAATCCAAAAGCCCTTACATACATCAGTAACTTCACTCTAAGTGCATTGACCTCAGTGGGATTACCCACATAGGTAAGATAATTCACCTCAGCAGATGTCTGTTTGGATCCTGTCCTTAACCTATGAACTCCTTGGGGAAGAGGCAAGTTGCTGTTCAGAATCAGGTGGTTGCCAGCGCTTAATAAATAGCACCAGTGATGAAGATAATCATCAGCTATTTAGATGACAATGACAGAAATCATCCTTCTTTCTCATCCCTATGTTCAGTAAAACATGGAGCAAATTCATATGTTTGGAAATATGAAGATGAAGTTGAATCTGCACTACTATTCTTATAAAGTGAATGGACTGAGAACTACAGGGGAGGGGCACAAGGCAGAATAACTACCTTTCTATTTTGTAAGTTAGGGTATGTCTACACTACCCTCCTAGTTCAAACTAGGAGGGTAATGTAGGCATACCGCACTTGCAAATGAAGCCCGGGATTTGAATTTCCCGGGCTTCTCGAACCCCGTGCAGCGCGGCTACACGGGGCACGAACTAGGTAGTTCAAACTAGGCTTCCTATTCCGAGGTGTACCGGTAGTTCAGAATAGGAAGCCTACTTCGACCTACCTAGTTCGAACCCCGTGTAGCCGCGCTGCACGGGGTTCGAACCAGCGGGGTTTTAAAAATGGCGGCTCCCTGCTTATGCAAATGAAGCCCGGGAAATTCAAATCCCGGGCTTCATTTGCAAGTGCGGTATGCCTACATTACCCTCCTAGTTCGAACTAGCAGGGTAGTGTAGACATACCCTTAGTGTCATGCTTTATCATATGGTACACTTGTGGATAGGTGTAAATATTGAGGCATTTTTCATAAAACTATAGATGTACTTCACTGCCTCCAACTCGCCACTTGCTTCCTAATCTTCAGAATGACATTGTGCATATATCAATCAAGTAAGGCTACAGTTTCATGGGATTGCCTTGTAGAGACCAGCTGCACAAGAAAACATAGGGATAGAGAAAATTATAAATTAGCCTTGTTTTATTTTAAACTGTTCAGCCACAAGAGAGAGCCTGCTAAGTAGAACATTTTGCAATACAATTGAGCTACTAAATTTGTATACAAATCTGTAAGTTGTGACACCCAGGATGTCTCTCAATGCCAACTGGCAGAAAGTACACCATACCATAACACACATTAAGCCTGACACACTCATTGTTCCAACACTTTGTCATGTAACTAAAAGGTTTCATATAAGGCATCGCATGCAAACTGGTAACACAACCATCATTGATATTTGTGCAATGTATGTTCAGGTGGTGTTTAAAGAATTATGGATGTCTGAGGATAATAGGTTCTTCTTTGAGTAGTGTCCCTGTGGGTGCTCCACCACCAAAGGTGTTGGACTCATTCCGGCACCACAGCTCAGAGTATTTTCTGTAGCAGTAGCCCCTGGCAGACCGCGCATGCGCAGAAGCTGTCTCGCCCCGTTCGCACCTTTTCTGCATCGCGCGGTCTGGTCCACCAGTTCCTCCTAACCGTCCACAGCCGCAGACAGAGTTGGGATGAGCTCCTACCTCTGCCCTGAGGAGAAACGTTGGATAGCAGTTAAAAGATAGAAAGTTTGTTTTTCATCCCAGTTTAGCCCTTACCCTATAGTTCTAGTTAGTTATAGTTTAAAAAAAAAAAAATAACGAATGCTGTTTTTGTATATAGTTGTTCGGTCAGTCGACCAACCCATACAGACTGAGTCTGACAGACTTCCTCTAGCCATCATGCCCGGCTCCCCCGGGTTTAAGAAGTGTGCGTCATGCGGAGACACCATGCCAGCATTGGATGGCCATTCCCAGTGTATAAGGAGCTTGGGGGAAGGCCATTTCCCCCAAAAGTGCACTTATTGCTCCAAAATAACTGCCCATGCCAGACCGGACAGGGAAATGCAGTTGAAAATGCTGCTGTTTAACAGAACGTTACAGCCATCATCTCCCCCGGGTTTAAGAAGTGTGCGTCATGCGGAGACACCATGCCAGCATTGGATGGCCATTCCCAGTGTATAAGGAGCTTGGGGGAAGGCCATTTCCCCCAAAAGTGCACTTATTGCTCCAAAATAACTGCCCATGCCAGACCGGACAGGGAAATGCAGTTGAAAATGCTGCTGTTTAACAGAACGTTACAGCCATCATCCGGCACATAAGTCCCATGAAGGGCAGAGCCCTGCTCCAGCCAGGAGTGTTAGTTCGAGGGACGCACCAAGCACATCAGGATTGCTGCCTAAGCATGCCGTGGGCAAGACATCTAAAGCCCGTAGTACTTGTGTGTCTAGCCCCGCGATTTCTTCCATACCGGTGCCGCTGGCACGCACAGCACAATGGCCTGAATTGGCACCAGCGGTGGCACCACAAGCAGAAGCGGCACCAGCAGTGGCACCAAATGAGCCATGTACCACTCCAAGACCGACATCATCGGCACCGACACCTACCACGGAGTCCACAGCACCAACCCCTGCTGCATGGTCGGCACCGACATCGCCAATACCAGCACCACAAACACTACCTCGACACCGGGAGATGTCGGAACTGAGTTCCTTCGCCTCTGCACTGGCTAGTCAGCAGTCATGGTTCCACCTCCATCGCATGTCTCCTCATTACCAACTAAGGCACAATTGAAAGCTTGACACTTACGCACATCAATGCCCAGCCCCGAGAGGGCTGTTTTTTCTCCAGAGCCTTCTCCTCCACCTCCCCATTGATCAGACAGACACGAGCACGGGTGCTACAGGTCACCTCCATACTGCTATTGGAGATCCCCACGTTGATCTTGCACGTCTCCCCTCTATTACTGGTCCTATCACTTTCACTCACGATCGCACTAGACGGTGCGATCAAGATCGCTGTTGTCCCCAACTCATTCACGTTACTCTTGCTATAGGAGTGCAAGTTCCTATTCTCCTAGGCACTCCCTTCATGGGTACCACCGTCGTAACCGGCACTACACTTAATTACTACTGCGAACATCCATACTCCTGCAGTGTAATTCACTTAGCATCCATATCACCGGGGCATGCTCAATCACAGTCGCCACACCTCCCGACCCAGGATATTCTACCTCCGGGGTAAGCTCCTCCAACACCCACAGGTGATGCACCCTCTACTTCTACCCAGCATGAGAGGGATGGTAATCAGTCTCCCACCTGTGAAGGACAGCGTATGGACTCTCCCACCGATCAATTATCTTCTTCACCGGATGATACAGTCTTTCAGGGTGACTCTTCTCCTGTAAACAATTACAAAAAGTTTCAGGGTCTATTTAAAAGAGTAGCCCAGTCCCAGAAACTACACACGACTGGCATACCACATAAACAACACCGTCTCCTGAAAAATTGAAAGCTTTCTCAGAAATCAAAGTTGGCGCTCCCCTTTGACGAAGCCATCCTCGAAATTGCCAATGATATTTGGTAAACTCCAGCTTCCGTGCCACCGACAAATAAATGTACAGATAAGAAATACTGTGTCATAGCCAAGGATACAGAGTTCCTATTCACGCATCCCCAACCTAATTCCATTGTGATGGATGCTGTGCAACAAAAATCAAAGACAGCACAGGGCAGGAACACGGTGCCTGACAAAGAGGCGAATCGACTGGATTTGCTGGGCAGGAAAGTCTTTTCTTCAGCCACAGCAACCCTCAGGATGACTAATTACTTGGCTCAACTTGCCAATCTTGATTTTGATAATTATTCCAAGCTTGTCCCCCTCATGGAGTACTTACCTAAGGCTAAGAAGCAAATCCTGAAAGCCGTGGTGCGGAAGGGCTACACAGCAGCCCGTACAGCACTGCAAATCGCCCTCAATATTGCTGACACTGCCTCCCAGACCACAACAACTTTGGTGGTCATGTACCGTACTTCTTGGCTCCATCTGGCATCTGTACCGAAGGACCTCCAACCAAAAGTGGAGGACTTACCCTTGTGCAAAACACTGACCAGGTCTTTCATTCCGGCAAAGATTTTCGCACCACCCTGAGGATGCTCAGAATGTATACTCCACTGTTTAGACGCAGAGATTCATCTCCTATAATAGACAAAGACCATTCTCATATTCTGCGTCTTGCTTCAGGCCTTACAACCAGCCGAGGCAGAGACAACATCCTCAGCAGCACCATCAACAACCCAGCAAAACATCCAACCAATAGCAAAATCGACAGCAGGTTTGATGTCAGTTGAGGGACTGCCCGCTATTCTCCTTATAGAGACTTCTCACAACGGGACCAAATTATTTCACCATCGGTTGAGACTGTACCACCTTCTCTGGTTTGCCATAACCACAGACCGCAGGGTCAGAGAGATTGTTACATCTGGCCTCACCATTCCATTTTCTACCCGGCTCCCTTCCACCCCTCCTTTCCCATCTGTTTTCAGGGACCCCTCTCATGAACGTCTACTGCAACAAGAGGTCTCACGCCTACTTACCATCGGGGCAGTAGAGAGGGTACCAGATCAATTCAGACGGAGGGGCTTCTATTCTCGGTACATCCTCATGCAAAAGAAAGTCCAGAGGATGGAGGCCTATCCTGGACCTCCACAAACTCAACTGCAATCTTCGAAAACAGAAATTCTAGATGGTCTCGTTAGCCTCTATCATTCCAGCTCTAAACGAAGGGGATTGGTTCGCATCCCTTGATCTCCAGGATGAGTATTTCCACATGATGGTGCACCCGACTCACAGGAGAGTCCTCCATTTCACACTGGGTAACAAACATTTTCAGTAAACGGTGCTATCGTTCAGCCTCTCAGCAACACCGAGAGTGTTCTCCAAAACCCTAGCCATTGTAGCCGCTTGCCTCCAACATTCCAGCATCACCATTTTTCCCTACTTGGACGACTGCCTTCTGAAGGCCCCTACTGCAGACGAAGCTCAGGCAGCGGTCAGCATAACCAGGGAGACATTCAAAGTTCTAGGGCTCATTATCAACCTCCCGAAATCTTCCTTGGCTCCTTCTCAGTCTTTCAAGTTCATCGGGGCGAGACTGGAATCCACAACCGTTACCATGTACTTACCTCTCAACAGCTCTCATGTTATCCAAGACCTAGGGAACACTCTACTCACCACCCCCAAAACACCCATACTCACCTTCCTGAAACTCCTGGGACACATGGCGGCCGCCACTTACATGGTTCCCCATGTGAGACTTCACTTGAGGTGCCTTCAGCATTGGATACTCACAATTTATACACCGGGCACTCAGAATACTCGTAGGCTTGTTGTTGTCCCCAAGCACGTGAGAGATTCCTTACTGTGGTGGCTCAATAGGAAGAATACCCTAGCGGGCATCCCCTTCCATGGTCAGAAATCAGCCATACAAATCACCACGGATGCATCCCTGGTCGGGTGAAGGGCCCATATGTGTCATTATTGGGCTCAGGGACTATGGACACATCACGAATCCCTCCTCCACATAAACCTTTTGGAGTTGTGGGTGGTGTTCAATGCCTGCAAACATTTCCCACTCAAGAGGAATCATAGTGCAGATCTTCACCAGCAACATCTGCACCGTCTACTACATCAACCGGCAGGGGGGTGCCAGATCCCGATCCCTTTGTGCCAAGTCCATTCGCCTGGACTTGGGCTATCCACCATGGAATCACACTCACTGCTGCATACCTCCCCGGCAAGAACAATACTATCGCCAATGTTCTGAGCAGCACTTTTCCTATACAACACGAGTGGGAACTGCTTGACAAAGTAGCCCGCAGCCTCTTCAAGAACTGGGGGTATCCCACCATAGACCTTTTTGCCACTCAGGACAACAAGAAGTGTCACCTCTACTGCTTGAGAACAGGCATTGGCACAACTTCCCAGGGAGATGCCTTTCTTATCGACTGGGGAATGCACCACTTACTGTATGCTTTTCCCCCAATTCCACGAGTTCTAGAAGAAAATAGATATGGATGGGGCGATGGTGATAATGATAGCACCATTTTGGCCCCAACAGACATGGCTGACCCAATTAATGTGGATGTCTGCATCACAACCACAACAACTGCCACAGTCACACAACTTACTGTCACAGCAGCACGGCACGCTCCTTCACCCTCATATCGATCGATTGCACCTGACGGCATGGCTCTGAACTGGCTCCAAGGCCCCAAAATGACCTGTTCTCAAGCAGATAAGGACATCCTTACCCATAGTAGGTGCCAAACCACCCAAAAGACCTACCTTCACGAATGGCACCGGTTTCAGTCCTGGTGTCTGAGGCAAGAGGTGTTGATCTTCTATCTATAGCCATCCAGCAAATTCTCGATTATATTCTTTACCTAAAATCAGAAAAATTAGCGATGTCTTCACTTAAAGTCCACTTGACAGCAATTTCTCAGTCTTCGCTCACTTGTTGACCAAAAGGTTTTTCAAAGGGGTCGCAAATCTGACACACTGACTCGTCCACCATTCGAACCACTAGCGACATGCGATCTGTATATTCTTATTAAGAAGGTGACATTTCTGCTTGCCATTACATCCAGGCGTTGCATGAGCGAACTGGCAGCATTCTCCACAGATCCTCCCTATATATTATTTACCAAACGGGTAGTGACACTGTGTAGTCATCCAGCCTTTCTACCAAAGGTTAATTTGCCTTTCCATATAAACGAACCTATACCGTTACCTACCTTTTACCCAAAACCACATTCCACCGCAGAGGACACACGTCTACATACATTGGATGTGAGAAGAGTGCTTGCATTTTATCTGGAGAGGATGTGTCCCTTTTGAAAATCGCAGCATCTCTTATTATCCATGGCGGACTATTCTAAAGGCCAGAAACTTTCTTTACAACGCATCTCCACTCTATGGTAGCCTGCATCACGTGCTGTTACTCTCTACGTAACAAATCGTTGCCTTGCAAACTGAAGGCGCCTTCTTCCAGAAGCCTGGCTACTTCCACGGCCTTCCTCAAGGGTGTACTATTGCGTGACATATGCCGTGTGGCTACCTGGTCTTCTACCTTGACCGTCGCTAGGCATTAAGCCCTTGCTAGCATGCTAGCTACAGGTGGGGCAGTGGCTCAGGCAGTGCTCTCCACAGTGCAGAGTCCTTAACTCCAAAGCACAATAGTAACGCTGAGCTACGGCTTCATACTCATCTTTGGTGGAGCACCCACTGGGACACTACTCGAAGAAGAAAGAGTATCTCACCTGTGCAGTAACATCTGTTCTTTGAGATGTGTGTCCCCGTGGGTGCTTCACAACCCACCCTCCTCCTTGCTTTCTGTCTTTCAGATGGTTCCAGCTAGGAGGAACCGGCAGGCCAGACCGTGCAATGCAGAAAAGGCATGAACGGTGCAAGACAGCTTCTGCGCATGTGCGATCCTCCAGGGCTACTGGTACAGAAAACTCTCCAAGCTGCGGTGCTGGGACGATCTTGACACCTTTGGTGGAGCACCCATGGGGACACACATCTCTAAGAGCAGATGTTACTGCACAGATGAGTAACTCTCTTTCTTCTTAAAGTTTCAAGCAATGCATAAAGAGTCTGTTCTAGACCCAGGAATGCTGTTGTGCCTGTTTTCCTGCATCTCCAATGTAAATTGAGCCAGATAACACCTTAGTGGGCAATGAAAAATACATCTACATAGAAAATAAACAAAGCCATCAAGCTAAATGATTCAGGGCAGACGAGTGAACAACTGCTTAATGAGTGCAATGGGGGATGGAACCTGCACACCCTAGCTGTTGAAACAGACACAGACTTTGGGAAATATAAGCAAAGACAAAAGCTAATTTGGCATCCAACACTTAGGGAGACATAGGGGAATCTGCACTCTTTCAGCTCATGAAAAGCAGATTCTCTTAGCCAGTTCCAACTACTCTCGGTTTCCAAGCCATAGGGGCAAAACTTTCCTAGACAAAGATTGTAATTAGTCACTAGAACTCATGTTTTCATTTTATTTATAACCAGTGCTTTCTTTTTTTTCTTTCCTTACAAAAAAAGTGCCGGTATTAGGATTACCAGATGATTTTGCTGGGGGAGAGGAAAAAAAAGGCTGGGAGGTCATGGCCAAAATGCCCCTTTAATTGCCATATGTCCCAAGCAGGCTTCTGGCTGGAGTGGTGCAAATGCTCCCAGGGCCAGCTGGGGGCTGTGCCAGAGGTAAGTGGCAAGTGCTCCCCAAAAAAGGCACTGCTTATAACTATATCAGAAACTTATGAAAACCATGATCTTTTTCTGGATTTTGCGGGTAGTACAAATTGATTTGCACATCTATTTGGACAGGAAAGTATTTTTGACCATACCTTCAGTTCTTGTATGAAAACGTTTCTAAAAAAGTCACTGCTTAAAAATAATATTGGTGGCCATATTTCTTTTGCTTGCCCTATTAAGGGCCAAGATCAGCTTCCCGGAACCTCAGGAAGTACAAAGATATTTTCTCAAAAGCACCACCAGCACGAACTACCAGTTTGCTCACATCACTCCAGAATACTAAGAGCAGCTGGCTAGTATAGACCCTGTCTCAGAGTAGAACAGAACAGCACAACTGTGGAAGAGGTTATGTGTGTGTGCGTGCGCGCGCACGCACGTACACATGCAGTAAAACTTTTACTACCACGGGAGAAAACACTTTGTTGTTCTGGGAATTAAGAAATTGATTACAGTCCATTCTAGCAAGAGTTGGTGTTGTCTACCTGACTGGCCTACCAATCGGTGTGTACTCAGAATGCATTTAATGCTGCTGGTGACATTACTGGCTGAAGGGTTTTACACAGTGAAATCAGTGTTGATTGCCTCACTTATGTAAAGATGAACCTGTAAAATATTATTGGATCTCTCTCATTTACCCCCAGTGTTGGTAACTGATCAGTGAAAAAAGGAATTGACAACTAGGGAGGTGGGCGGTAGGAGTTGTCTTTTACTTTTCTGTTTTGGAACACCTGTATCACAGTTGGCTTATATGAGGAAAAATTTGAATAAGTAATCAAGAAATCTTATCTCAGCTTCTAATAGGTGAAGGAAAAAATAAATCTACATTAATATGGTTTTACTCTATTCCTTAGGTTCTGTCTACATTGGGAAGGTTTGGCTACAAAAGTGCTGTTGACATGCAAAAGTCACCAAAAGTGAAAACCGGTCATATCATTTCATGGCCACATTGCTAGCTCCCCTGTCAACAGAGCAAAGCAATGTGGGTAAGCATCCCACAGTGCAGTTTTGTGGGAAGGAAGAGCTGATCCTGTACTTCTTGGGATTCCCTTGTAGCTCTGGGAGCTCACCATGCTATAGAGTGTCAAAGCAATACAGCAGTCTCTCCAGTCCTCCCCCTGCAGCAGCAGAACAAAAGCATTCCAATGATTTGTTTTTAGTTTGTTCCCCAAATGGAGCAGCTCACTCAGCTGTCAGATACTTCCCAGAGCTTTGAAAGGGGAGAGGTGCATGCCTGCAGGCAGCAGAGATCACAAAACACTGAGCACAGCCATCAGGGAAGGCATTGTGGTATACTGGCAGAAGCCATTCCTCAACAAGACAAACAGCAGAGTCCACACTGGCTCTTTGCTAACAATTAAGGGAGGGGAAAAGAGAAAAGTCTCTTGCAGGGGTGGAAATTTTTTTCGCCAAAACTGGGTATTTTTCCCAACCAAAGTCGCATTGTAGTGTAAACGCTCTCACCGTTTTATCACCAAAAGGCAGGTTTTGGTGAAAAAACATACCAGGGTAGACAAGAAGAAGAGTAGTGTGAGATAAAATACAAAATTTCAATATGATTTTTTTCCCTTTATTAATATTTCAATACCAGCAATCCAGTGCTGTTTTTTTCCCTCAGGACCTGATTCAAAGTCCATTGAAGCCAATGGGACCATTTCCATTAAATTCCATGGATTTTGGCTCAGGCCCTTAAAGTGGAAATGTGCATTTTCATTGGAACAAACATGAGCCTGCAACCTCATGGGTTTCAAATATTTGTTTGTTGTGAAACCAGCTCTGTTCATAACATGACCGTGCATTGACCATTTACTTTGCTCACTGACATTGTAAAACCAGGAATTCACAACCAATTACGTTAAAGTTAATCATTCCTTATTTAAGATGACAGCATGTGTAATTTCTCTCAGAAAGTCTGGCTATTAAAGAGTTGAAAGAAATGGGGATTTAAAGTTTATATAACAGTTCCCTGGAATTACTTTGTTACAACATGTACATACTGGGTAGAACACAGTAGATATTTATGGAAGAAAAGTCAATTAAGTTTGATGGGAAAAAAAATGAATTGGTGGAGGAAAAAAAAAGGGAGAGAAAGATGTTCTCCAAAATGCAAAATTAATTACCTATCCCAATTTAAATATGAGATACCAAACAGTATGCAACACAGTCATATAATTTATGGTAGCAGTAAGTAAAAAGTAAATGCAGTGCAACAAAGAAGCCATTACATAGTACTTTATTAGTTCATTCAGATTGACTGAAAAGGAAATGCTAATGCTGTTACAGTGTTTTGCTGAGCTGTGAAATGGTGCTTTAGTATTTTCCAAGCTGCAAAGAAACAAATACGCAATTACATTGGACAAATTATACATTTTAAAATGGTTGCAAGATCCAACATCTAATTACACATCAAGCTGCACCTTCATTTGGGGATGGAGAAGGGTCTGCAGTATGCCAGGAAGTAAATTGTGCTTCCCTCCCTCTGTCAAGGCTCAGTTAGATGAACTGGTAAGGGTGAGACTTCTTGCTGTACTGTGGATTACGTACAAGATAGGGTTACGTACAAGATAGGGACTGTAGGTTTGTTCTTAAGTTGAATCTGTATGTAAGTCGGAACTGGCATCTAGATTCAGCTGCTGCTGAAACTGACCAGTGGCTGACTACAGGAAGCCTGAGGCAGAGTGGCTCTGCCCTGGGCTTCCTGGAATCAGCTGCTAATCAGTTTCAACAGGCTGAATCTGGACGCCAGTTCTTACATACAGATTCAACTTAAGAACCCCAGGCGTCCCCAAGTCAGCTACTGCTGAAACTGATCAGCGGCTGATTCCAGGAAGCCCGGGGCAG